AGCCCTTCTAGCCAATAAGAATCAACAAACAGGCCTTAGGGTATAAATAAAGTAAAGGAGGTAAATTATTGGACTATATTAAATACAAATCAATTTGCGATCTACATAGCACGCCTTCGTCGAGCACTCAAGGAACTTGGCTAAGTATACCCTCCTGTTCCGCGAAGGGATATATTTTGGCCTCCGTCAAAGACAGCCGTGTGGAAAGACATAAGTACGAATAGAGCCTTAGGATATATTTGGCCTGTGGATCCGTCTGAGTAGCACCCTTCAATCGACCCGCTATCGGAAGCGGTCCCTCTACCTTAGTCGTTCGGGAGCAAGTAAATGGCAGGCACCCCTGATATAGGAGGAAAAGGCCAGGGTTGAGAATCTCCCCTGAAAAATTTGGTTATAAGCTCACACTAGACCTAGTCAACAGAGTGGCTACATACCAGTGAAGTATATCGTCACCGAGCTCGTGACCCTTATCCGCGAGGCAGGTATGGTCGCAGGGAGGTTCGAGTTTGAAGACTTGTTTTCCATGGGGTTCAACAGTATTAAGACCCCGTTTGAGATCCTATACAAACGTTTGGGGATCCTTGTGGGAATTTATCTAGTACTACTCGACTCACCTCCTGCGATCGCCGCAACTGCACCGTCAGACGACAGCCAGATGACTCTGCAAATCATCGTAGGCCACCCTCAAAGTCACTGGTCGATCTTGAAGCATGGTCTATGCGAGGTCTATCACAAACCACCTTGCCTCAGGGTCCTCAGGTCCCTGCAAGGCAATTACCGCGAGGGTCGTCCGTCGCTAGCCACGTGGGCTGAATGCCTCTAGGACCAACTGGCATGCCACTGCTGCAAACCCGAGCGGAGAGCGCGGAAGACAAGGAGATAGCACACAAAACGGCAACGCGTATACAGCCAAGGGCAATTCGGGCCTGTGATAGGTCGACATTTTTACAATACGAAATTATAGAGGATTACAACCATATAATAACTCGTCACGTGACGAAAAAGCCTGGGTAGGAGCGCCTACCGACCCGGTAGGTAATTTGCAGGCATGATCCGACGCGGCTTTGACCAAATTCCTACTTGAAAGCCAAGTACTGCAAGCACACATCTATGGAAGCGCGGCCAGAAAACGACAGAGGGCGCAGAGGTCAACGGCCCAGCTGGGCCCAAGCGCAGGCATGCAAGTTGCAAGAGGCCAAGTGATGACCGACGTGGAGATGGAATCGGTCAGTTCGTGTGAATACGACCCAGATGTCATGGACCTCGATGGACCTCTGGCGAGAATGGCCAATGCCACCCTGGGACAGGTGCCGAACATGGTCCCTCGTATCAAGCTCTCAGCGACCTCGGATCTCAAGGAGTTCCATGGTGTAGACCAAGATGAGGACCGAACGCGCAGCTGGGTGACCACTGTGAAGACCGCGTTCACGAGGGACCAAGCGCCAGACGAGGAAAAGTGTCTCGTTTTTGGAGGATTATATGACTGGACCTGCCCAGAACTCGTAACATTAACGAGGTCCCTCTCGTTTGAGGAAATTGGAAGGACCTACCACAGGAATTCCAGATGCATTTCTGTGGTTTGAAGGTTCCAGTGGCCCGCCGATATTACATGCGAAAAGAAGGACGGACGAATATCCGCTAGACTACCTTTAGAGACCATGCGGTTTATAAGTATCAGGGGCGTTCTCGAGCCCCTGAGGCATGACAAGCCATTTGTAAAGCATAATACTAATCGTGTTGACGGCGGTAAGAGGAACAGGTTGAGTCTTCATCAAGATCTGGTATAAGCCGTCTGTCAAATCCAAAAACGAGAATATCGTACTTTTTGACATGGCATCCAAGACCATGTCCTTCCTTGGGATTGGCATCTGCACCAAAATAATCGCATCATTCAGTTTGTTAAAAGCATGAACGATGCGCCTCTCTCCCGTCGACTTCTTGACACACATGGTGGGACTAGAATGGGAAGACTTGCTCCCACGCACGTGACCTGCGGCGCGACGCTCTTCATAGAAGGCGCCGATAGCTTTTACCTGGCCACTAGGGAGCGGCAATTGTCCACTGACGCAGTACTTCAAACCAGGCACGAGACCAATCTCGTGCCGACTTCTCTATCCACAGGAAGAACCGCAGGAATTTTGTCAGGAGTGACATCGTCAAACTCGCGCGCAAGCGCGAGAACAGAATTCTCTGATGCAGCAAGTTCTTCCCAGGGTTGTGCCGCAAAAAGCGCTTTTCTCGTTTGAACTCAAGTTACATCCCTTCTGGACGCTCGTGTTTGTTGTGCTTGGGATCTTGAACGACTAGACAGAGTTGATCGATCTCATCTTTCTTCAAACCATGCAGTAAATCGTCCCAAGAAAGTTCCGATAGCTACGTGATCCATCGCGTCGCGGAGTGGACTCTCGACCTATAACGAATGGCTGCGCGGACCAACACCATTCATGTTAACGACATTGATGGTCTCGAATGGAGACGCCAGTGGAAGAGATGTTGCCGACGAGGGATACGAACACAAGGACACCGCCCTTGGCGATGACGTGAACCAGGAACACAAGCTGGTTGCACAACCGGTCGTACGGAAGCCGCTGCCTCCGCGTAAGTCGTCGGAAGCCGCAGATCTGACGTGGTGTACTCCATTGGGAATAACACAGGAGCCACTGCTCGCGCGTGACGCATCGATAGCCGTTTCTTCGATGCGGTTGAAGCTGAAAATGCACGCACTGAAAGCTTCTCTGCTTCGGCGCAACATTCGCAGCTCGCACGGGAGCCACTGCTGGCTTGTGACGCACGGAAGGTCCGTTTTCGTGCTGTTTTAGAAGGGCGCGCACACATGGGAGCCACTTCTTGATCATGAGATACCCGTTGCTACTGCTGCGAGTTTGATGCTTGACTAAGGGACCACATTTTGACATGGGGCAGGTTGCTAAATTTCACACGACACTTGAAGCTTCATTGTACACTTCGGGGGCATTATCAGTCGTGGGGTCGGGGTCCACAACAGCAACGTGCTGCCAAATACTCTTTGGTCTGTTAAGAATCGCAAGAACCGCATATAAGTTTATGTCACGGGGTTGAATCGTGCGTTTCAGCCAATCAATGTCAAGTCGATGTCGTGTAAGCCACAGTATCCAAAAACTTTTGTCGAATGAACCGCTCAAGTAGATAACTAAGAATTAATCACTGCTCTCGAAAGCATAGAACCGTTAAAGAAGCCTTACCGAGAGATTTCGGTGCGTGCGGGGTTTGGCGTCCGCATACTGACGACCATCTCCTGAAGACGCGGACACGCAACCACGACGGGAGGACGGGTAAGCTGTCGGCGCAGGCAAAATTGTTCGTCACGCCTGAGTCCTGCAATACACGACGTGGACGTGACGCACCGTCAACGTGAACTCTATGCACGATCAAATGCGGATCATTTCTGGACGTAGTGGCATTCATCTTTGCATAGTGCACAGCGGGGCTCGGAGAACGTGTCGATACCGCAGACACGTGTCTCCATTCAATCCAGTAGGACGCCCCGCGTCTGATGGTTTCCGTCGTTTGTTGGCTTATAAGCGTTGTTGAAGGTGACCTCAGAGGCAGCGAAAGCGAGGACTGGTGCAGGTGTACGGCATACAGTCGTGTGGTATCCAGACTTACTACAGCTGCAGCAACACTAGTCATTTCGGTGGTACAAGCTTCCAATATCCGGCTCTCGGAGCACGCCGAGAGTATGTGACGTACTCGATCGCGTCAACCTCCATGAGCTCGGCTATTGGGTAACAGCAGAAGGCGAATAAGATGCCATGCACGAAGCCTTGACGCTAAAATCCTCATGCAACGCGATCGCAAACGCTTCTTACAGCGACGTAGGGGGCATCCACGCTGATGTCCAGCGTTCATTCCCGTGACAAACGCGTGGACTTGCGTCAACGTATCGATCGAATTGGTGACATTGCAGGACGCCAGATGTCGTGCTTGTTGAATATAATCCAGCATCGACAGTCGACCTTGCTTCTGTACCAAGAAAGCCGATCGGTGGTAGTGCTCATCCTGTGGACGCTCAAACGCCAGGCGCAGTTCGTCCTGGAGAGCTTAAATATCCGGAAAATATTTCGAATCAGACACAAGGTTGTCCATTGCTCACTCCTTTGCTTTGCCTGTTAACTTGGACAAGAGGAATGGGTATGTGCGAAAATTTGGCTTAAGCGGACGGAATCGGACAGCCATGTATTCTTTTGAAAGCCATCGATTATGCTCGAGGTGCTTCGAGCCCTCGCCGCAATAGCACGAGACGTTGAGTTTGACGACGTTAGAGCCTGTGGCAACCGCGGTAGTTGAAGCTCTCCAACGCAAAATGGCGAGCTCGAGATTGACGAAGTATTGGATGGCTACACGATGTAGCCGCCCAGGTGTGTCCATAAGCATGGTGACAACGGCAGTTATACCGTCCACGTCCGCTAGGTGACGCATGGTTTTCCACTTAAAAGAGTTCGGGTTTTGGAAGTCAACATGATGTAGTATCCACTCTCAGCGCCCTGGAGAGGAAGAATGCTCATCTTTGCTAGAAAGATTACGAAGTGCTACCAGGTGTAACGGAGTATGAAATCCAAACGTAACTTACACTAAAGGCCTTACAAGGAAACTTTAAGAAACATGCCTTAATCAAACGCGTGTTTAATTAATACCAATTTCAACTTTGTTTCTAAAATTATAAATTATATCCTAAGTACGAGTGATTCCCGAACGTCTGAGAGTCACTTAATCTAATGGTTGGATCCTATCGGCTGATAATGAGCCTGATTCCCACTTATCAACAAATAGAAATATGACATGCTGTACCCGCAAATATGGGTACAGCATATACCTTCTTATGTAATATATGAACCGAGCTACGTCTACTTACGAAGGGGACTGCTAGGTCGTACCTAGCTGAATGTGTACGGTACACCTTGTTACGTCATCATAGCTTTTAGGACGGCCCATGTGAAAAAAGCATCTTGCAGTGATGCACCTCATGTGAGCGCCCACTGTTTGGCAAAACCACCTAACTTGCCTGTGGCAAAGCCCACACGGTACGGTTCATAAGCGATAGTGGCTATAAACATAGCCGACTCAACTGATTGAAAAGCAAGCATAAAGCTGTCACCTCCTTTGCTGTCGAACTTATCGACTTCAATTTGTATGGGATTTGGTCTGCGGACCACATCTTGCGCCATAGTCGCCAGCGCGGTAGGCGCAGAGGAAGGCATCTGCGCCTTGACATGCTCGACTAGAGCTTTATTATATTCATCAAGCATATGAATACGCTTGTTGACCTCTTCTTTGTCTCGGGCAATGAGGCAGATTATCAGCCCTACCTTTTTGTGCTTGTGATGAGACAATCGCTGACATATCATCGATGACCATTTCACACAGAAAAGAAGTCGCAAACCTTCGTGCTGGATTAGATAGTAGCAAAAAAATACTGTAGCAAAGTTACATACTTGTGAAATAAGTCTCTCTACGGGCATGGTATGCCCCATCGCTCAAGGCGAAGAAGAGATTAATAAGCGTATTTATGGTTGAATAGTATAATAAAGCTCTAGTCGAGCTTGTAAAGGCAGTAACCGTCACGGTCTTCATGGAGGGCCTCAAAGTTGGCGTTGCCAGAACGGAAGTCTTCCGGGCAAACCCGTTCTTATTCAAGGAAGCTGTTGGAGTGGCATGGAATGACGAGACCAACTTTTAAGGCCGCTAGGCCTGCCACTTATAACTACTTATCTGATGGGTATGTCTGTTCCCATGAACTGTAGTTAAGTGGAGGATGAAGAAGCTGAGCTTCATGCTGCGGAGCAGCAAATTGTGCGCAGATGTTATATCTGCAAGAGCACAGGTCATTTAATGGCAAAATGTCCTGCCTGAAAGGCATATTTGGCCTCGAAGGGCCGACGCCTCATGTAAAAACCCTCTGGTTTGCCACGGTGAAATGACGGAGCCCAGTAGGCGCGGGGCTTCCTACTGGGGAAGAACTGAGTCTGTTGAACCTTGAAGAGGTAGAAGTAAACAGGGCCCAGCCCCAAAGAGATTCGAACTCTCACAAATGGAACGAGAATGCAAGTCAGGCTTGCTACTAGTCGAAGGGACGATTAAGGGCTATGATAAGCCATGGATCATTTTGATCGATTCGGGGGCATCGGGCAATTATGTGCGCCGTGCCACCGTGGAAGGTAGTCAGAAGTATGCTGAAGCGCTTGTAGCGCGTGAAAGTGTCACAGTCACACTTCGCTTAGCGACTGGTACGCGTGTTACGGTACCCAAGTCTCGATGGAGTTAGTTGTAAAGTTCTTGGACTTTAACAGCATGGAACGCTGTTGGATCTTAGACCTGGATGCGAGGTATGACCTCATCCTAGGCATAGCATGGCTAGAACGTCATAAGCCATGGATTGATTGGAGGTCAAAGACCTTAGACGCAACACGCAATGCTTCTGATGGGGCTCTGGAGAGTCATGAACCTACCTCTGCTAGGAAGCAAAAGTCGTTTTTGGCGCGGATATTGGACCGAGTCGGTCAATATGTTGGATGTCAAAATATCCGACTTTGTAGACACCGTAAGTGTCGAGGACAATAGTCTTGGGCGAGGCCCAAGGACTGTCGATAGTGGGGTTGAGAACCTACTAGATGGCACATATGACATGTGTCATGAGAATGATGTTACATCATTAAACACCGTGAGTGGTGTTGGTAGCTTCAAGCCACGATGTCAGGACATGAGTCCAAGTGACATGAGTGACGAGGTACTGGCTCAAGAGGGCCGGGTGAAATCATCAATGGATGTTGTCTTTAAGGACAGTGAAGTGCAAGCACCTAGTGACGAGGTACTGGCCCAAGAAGGTCTGGTGAAGTCATCAATGGATGTTATCTTTGAAGACAACGAGATGTAAAAACCTCATGACAAGGAATTGACCCAAGAGGATGTGGTGCAGTCAGTAAACGAAGTGGTCTTTGACCTTGAGGTGTGTACACCTGTGGACGCTGATGCGTCAGATGCTGAGAGCATCATGAGTAGCGATGATAGTATCGTGAGCGACAGTGATAAAAGCAAACAGCTATATACAATCGTCAATGGTTTAACTGGGGATGTTGAAGAAAAGGTGTCTCTTTGATCCATACCCACAATAAGTGCTCTGTCAGAGCTGAACGAGTTGTTCTTTGCCGAGTTTGGCATTGCCTTACAGGCAGGCGACATCGCCGAAGTGGTTGTTATACGACCTAAGAAGGAGTTAAACTTCCATCGCTTTTGTGATAAAGCAGTTCTTGAAGGATACCAAGAAGGCGCTGAAAGCGCGCAGTGGATCGCAGATCGTGAAGGACTCTTCGGCTTCATATTTTTCTTGTTGAAGGAATATAGAGATGTTGTCTCCAGAAAACCTCCTACGAGGTTATGTAATGAAATAAGGACCCGTTACGTAACTTAGACTAAGTGGCTTACAAGGAAACACTTAGAAACACGCGTTAATAAAATGCGTTTAAATACTACCAAAACATCAACTCGGTATTTATATTTATAGTTTAATTCTAAGTGCGAGAGGTCTTCAAACGTTTGAGAGCCACTCAATGTAAAGGTCGCATTTTATTGGCTGTTAATGGGCCTGATTTCAACTTATTGACAAATAGGATTACGGCATGCTGTACCCATTATATCGGGTACAGAGGATGTCTCTTTACGTAATAGTACTTAGCTAAGTCTACTTATGATAAAGACTGAAAGGTCGACGTACCAAGCAGGATTTGTACGGTACACTTCCTTACACCACATTTTACATATATTAGCACTCACCTTTGTGTGCACAACACAACTAATAGAAAAAGAAAAACACAAAATGACGACTTATGGATTATTTGCTTCTGAAGCAGCGATCGCGGCCAGCATGAGCACACAAGACGATACCACGTGCAGTGCCTCAGCAGAAAATAACGGAACCGCGGACCCTGACACTGTCATCCATGACAAGGTTGTTTATACTGCGATCATACGCAGAGACGCTATGCGTCTAGGAACGATACGACAGCAGTGGTATAGAGAGTTCGCGTGGAGACCTGAAAATGTGTGAAACTTGGTGCCAATGGAGTTGAACAGGCGGCAAGCCCACCGTGGCTACACGCGCGGGCGCAAGCTTCACTCGACAAGTCTTGGACTGCATTCGTGCGCCGATGGAATACCGAGTCATAGTTTGCCGATTTTGTGCCGATTAGTGAAGAACGATGACACCGCTATAGCCTCGAAGAGACTCGGAAGATCGACTGCGAGTTGTCGTGGGATGCTGACCGCTTTATTGTACTGTACACTGACGTGAAGGCTGTCGACGTTGCAAAGACAATGGCGCAGCGCGTCCTGACCGTGTTTAATGGACGACGATGCTCCAAAATTACCCGATAAGTGATATGGAGAACACTTGGATTGAAGGAACGAGAGAAAACTCTACGAGTACTGACGCGCGTATCCATCAAGTCGAGCAAACATGACTGTGAAAGGTGACTCTTCACCAAACTTAAGAACTCGTTCCCGCACACGGATCCCTGCAGTATAGCGAGGTGTTTTATGCTCGCGATCTCGTTCAACTTGCGATCGTTGGCGTCCACGATGTCCGAAACGTCTGGTGTCAGCTCAGAGTGTCGTGCGCGAGGTTTACACAGTCCACGCTTCGACAGGGTTGACACCCTTCTTTGCTAAAAACTCGCGCCATCCTCGCGTTCCTGTTCTTTTGGGACTGACCGGCTGTTCTACTTTTGTTAAGGGAGGGACACCAGATGACTTGGCGTCGGAGGCGTCTCCACACGTAGTTCTCGACGACTCACTAAACGTTGCTCAAACTCGAGCTGCTGCTCTGCGTGATATTGCTTCGCCTGCCATAGATGCGCGACTCAGACGCCAATTAGGGAACACCGTGCAACTCAATTAGTTCCGTCAATGGGTGCAACATCCGACGTTGCTGCTCCTTACGTTATACCGATGCAGAAAGTTTGCTTATCCGACTCCATATTGATTGAAGCGTTCGTGCAACAACGTCAGTCTGTCATGAGGTTTGTGCGCGACGGTATAGCCCCTACAGTGGACAAAAGTAGGCGTCCGATGATCAACGCAAGAATCTCAAGAAGTTCAAGGTTGTTGTTGACTCTGTTCTGCTTGCAACAAATGGAATCCAAGAAGTATTGGTTACGAATTTCGGGGCCACAAAGCTGGCACCGCGATATATTTGACCTTTTAAGATCATCTGAGTCAAGAGTGATGCCTACAAACTGGATGTTCCTTCCTCGATGCTTCTACACCCAACCTTCTAAGTTGGCCGTCTCAAGCGTTACTGTCCGGCTGTTCTTCCGTCTTCGATTGACTCGCGGGTACATATCGCGGTCCCCCTTAACGTGGTTCCCTTGTCGGATCAGGCTGGCGCAGCCCACGCAACACCGCGTTGTCTCGACGAAGAGCGGCTTTAGATTGTTCCAGACGTTCAAGACTCTGTGCGAATCAAGCAATCGCAGACGAAGTCTCCTCAGCAAGGTTCTCGGCAGCCTCGGCTGGGTCACGCGCTTGACTTGCATCATGGTCAACGAAGCTCATCCGCCGACCGACCTCCTGCAGCTGCTTCGCAAGTGACAGATTCAGAGTCGGCGCAGAACTTGCACATTCCTGCGCCACGCGTTCGATTCCAGCGTGAGATTCCTCAACCATTAGTTATAGCGCCGGGAATCGACGTTGGCTATTTGAGCGTATCCTGGAACATAAGGACCCTACAGGCCGTTCGTGGCACCGCTCATATCTTACACAACCACGTTCCGACAACACGTCATTACCGCGTTCGCTGGCTCGGTTTCCCCCCTCGGCAGCGACTCGCGTTATTGAGTGCAAGCTCGGCTTAGGGAAGAAAAGAACTTCATGACGCCAACGAGGTAGCGTAGCTACGCAACAAATCATCCAAGACGCGATTTTCTTGCTCAGTCTGACCGTCGTCTTAGGGTGAACAGCTGCAGAAATTATCAGGAAGGTGCCGGTTATCTCGAACAGCCGAAACCAAAATGCAGCAGTGAAGCGAGGATCTCGTTCCGACCCAGTCGTGGCAGGTGTCGGAAGACCATGTCGACAAAGAGAGCTGCTGTCTCCTCCGTATTGATGGACGCCGCAACAGCCTCAAGATGCACCATCTTACTAAACCTTTCAGAGATCATCAAAATGCCCAAACCGCCTTTGCGCATTGGCGGGCAAACACGAAATCCATGCTCATACTTGATCTCACGCACCATGCAAGCCGCGTGCTTCGCACGAAAAAATTCGTCAATGACGTCACGTTGGGCCCTTGGCAGCGGCCACTGTCGCGTTACACATTATTTGCTATCTGAAACCAAGTCAATTTCATGACGTACACCTCTAACCGGAGTTAGCCCGTTTTAAGGTGTACCGTACACATTCTGCTAGGTACGACCTAGCAGTCCGTTTATAATACGTCATAGCTAAAAACATATATTACATCTCTAGGTTTACGCTGCTCCTGATACAGCGGGTACAGTTCGTATTATTTTGATTCGTTGATTAGTAGCAGCCAGGTCCATTATCACCCAATAAGATGCGATCTTTATATTTTTTGACTCCTACGACGTTTGGAGACCACTCGTACTCAAGATAAAAGTTATAAATATATAACCAGAATTGAACTTGGTATATAAAACCCTCGTTTTATTAACGCGTGTTCCTAACGTTTCCTCGGAAGCCATTAAGTGTAAGTTACGTAGTGGGTCCTAACTCCGTTACACCTGGTAGCACTTCGTAGTCCTACTAACAAAGATGAGCGCTCTGCCTATTCAGGGCGCTGAGGGAGTGAAGATGGATCATGATGACTTCCAGAATCTTACCTCTATCTTGTGGGGGGCTTTGCGTCGCCTGGCGGACGTGGCCGGTGTAACTACCGTTGTTGCCATACTAAAGAAACGCCTGAGCGGCTATAGCGTGTATTCAATCAAGACTTCGTCAACCGCGACCTCGCCGATTTGCGTCGGAGAGTCTAAACTTTCGCATTTACCACAACGTCTGACGTCGTCAAGCTCGACGTTTCGTGCTACAAAGGCGAGGATCGAAGCGCCTCGCGCTTAGTTGCTGGCTTTGTGAAGTAGGCATCGCTGTTGAAGCCTGCCCGCTCAAATTTTGCACGCACCCACTTCCTCTTATCCAAGTTAACAGGAAAGGCAAATCAGTGGGCGGTAGGCAAGCGTGTGTCCGATCCAGGCTGTTTTCTGGATATATAGGCCCTCAAGGACGACCAGCGCTTGGCGTTTGATCCTCCGCATAACTAGCACCACCATTGCTCGGCTTTCTTGGCACTAAAGCAAGGTTGCTTGTAGATGCTTGATTATATCCAACAAGCACGCCATCTGGCGTCCTGCATCATCACCAATCCGATCATCACGGTGACGCAAAATCACGTGTTCGTCACGGGAATGAACGCTGGGCAACAGCGTATTTATTTGACGCTGAAGCTCCCTATGTCGCGTGAGGAGGCATTTGCGATTGCATTGCGTGAGGACTCTAATGTCATGAATATGTGCATAAATTATTCTTTGACTTCTTCTGCTACCTAACAGCTTCATCCCATGGATGTTGACGCAATTGAGCACGCCACATCCCGCATCGTGCTCCGAGTGCCCGATCCCAAAATCCTGTAGCACCGAAACGGCTGGTTTGCTTCCGCTGTCGTAAGCCTGGTCATTACCCGGCTGGTTACCATGCACCTGCACCAGTCCTTGCTGTCGCTTTCGCTGCGTTCAACGTCACCGTTACCGACTCTGATCAGACAAAAGAGCGGCGGCATTCAGTAGACGGGAAGCGTCCTACTGGAGGCGACGGAGACACATGTCTGCAGTGGTGACACGTTCGCCTAGCCTCGTATGCAATATGCACAGAGGGCTAGGCGAACGTGTCCTACTACGTCCAGAAATGAGTCTCCTGTGATCTTGCTGAGTATTCACGCTGACGAAGCATCACGTCCATTTCGCGCATTGATGGACTCGGGCTTACAGCACAATTTTTTCCGCGCCAAAAGTTTACTTGTTCTCCCGTCGCGGTTGCGTGTCCCCGAGGATTCAGGGGAGATTGTCGTCAAGTGTGCGGACGTAAAGCCCCGCACGCACTGGCATCCTTCATTGGTGCTTCCTTACCGGTTTGATGCATTCAAAAGCAGTTGAGGATTCCAAATTATCGACTTGAGCGGTTCATCCGACTGCATTTTGGGTTGTCGTGGCTTACACGGCATCGACCTGACATTGATTGGTAAAACCGCATGTTTCAGTCACGTGACATTAATTTCAATGCGGTCTCGCCGTTCTTAACAGCTCGACGAGTACTTGGCAGCATGTTGCTGTCGTGAACCCCGACTCCACGACGAATTATGACCCCATGTGTGCGATAACCCTTCGAGTGTGGTATGTAACTCAGCAACCTGCTCTTACCCAGTCGAACAGTGGTTTTAATGCCAAGAACCAAACACGCATAATGGCAATAGGTGTCTCATGGTCGTAAAGCGGCTCATATTTTTGTGCGTTCTACTAAACCGCTATAAGGTGGGAAACCCTTGTGAGTCACGAGTGAGCAGTGGGTCCCGTGCGAGTGCGAGCTGCGAAAGTTGCGCCAAAGCAGATGCTTTCAGTGCGTGCAGTTCCATACCCAACCGCATCGAAGCAGCGGCTACCGATGCGTCACAAGCAAGCAGTGGCTCCCGTAATAATCCTCAACGGATGACCACACGTCGGAGCAGCGGCTTCCGACAACTTACGTGGAATTGGTGGCTTTCGTACGACCGATTGTGCAACCGGTTCGTGTTCCCGTATCACGTCATCGCCGTGGGCGGCGTGAGCTTGTTCGTCCTCCCTCTTCGACACCACTCTTCCGCCGGCGTCTCCATTAGAGACAATCAATGTCGTTAACATGAGTGGTGCTGGTCCACATTGCAATTCGTTACAGGTCGCAAGTCCACCTCGCGACGCGTCTGGCATTACGCAGCTTTTAATACTGTATGGGGATGAGTTACTGCATGGTTTGAGGAGGGAAGGGATCGAACAACTTTGTCTAGTCGTTCAAGATCCCGATTTCAACAAATACGAGTGTCCAGAAGGGATAGAACCTAATTCGGCAAGCGAGGAGCGCTTCGCAGCAAAATCCTGGAAAGAACTTGCTGCGTCAAAGAATCCTGTTCTTGGGCTTGTGCGCGAGTTTGCCGATGTCTTCCTTGCCAAAATCCCTGCGGTTCTCCGTGCGGATAGAAAATTGCGGCAACGAGATCGGTCTCACATGCCCGAATTAAAGTACTGCGTCACTCGATAGTGGTTGCTTCCTCGTGACCAAGTCGAAACCATTGACGCCTTCTTTGAAGGGCGTCGCACCGCAGGTCACGTGCGTGAGGGCACGTCTCCCTATTCTTTAGCCTACCTTCTGTATCAAGAAGGCGACGGGACGATTATGCTCTTAACAAACTGAATGGTACGTCGATTATGGCGCAAACGCCAATTTCTCGTAATGACATGGTCTTAGATGCCATGTCGTTAATCACGATTTTCTCGTCGTTGGATTTGACAGATGGCATCTACCAGATCTTGATGCGGTCTCAAGATGCTTCTTTCGCTGCCTTCAGCACGCCTAGTGGTATGCTTTGGGAGTGGCTTGTCATGCCGCAGGAGCTCAAGAACGCCCCTGCTATTTTCAAACGCATGGTCTCTCACGTGCTTTGCCCATTTCTCGACTTTGCGCCGAGCTACGTTGATGACATATTCATGCATAGTCGCGCATCCCATGGCGCAGGAAGAATTGGACGTGCATCTTGATCACCTTCGCAAAGTTTTTGAGGCGATGCGTAGAAACAAACTGCTCGCGAACCTGAAGAAATGCGTATTCTATGCTTTAGAGTTCCCAGTGTTGGGCTGTTTCATGAGTGCGAAGATCGTTTGCGCTGATCCCAAGAAGATCTCATCCATTTGCTCATGGCCGGTTTAGAAAGACCAGAAGCACCTTAGCCAATGGTTGGGTCTGGTCAACTACCTCCATCACTACGCTACAGACTATGCGGCAGTGATTCTCCATTGTTTCAACTACTGAAGAAGGTTGTCACGTGGGTGTGGCGTCAAGAGCATCAGGATGCATTTGACAAAATCAAAAAGATAGCTCGACAGCTCCTGTGTAAGCGATGCAGAATCATGACGCGCCTTTCCATGATGTCTGTGACGCGACTTTTTTTGTTAAAGGCTATACGCTGATGCAACATGATGATGCGGGAAAGAAACGCGTGGTCCGCTATTAATCTCGGCAGCTGAAGCCTGCCAAGGAAAACTACCTCGTTCATGACAAGGAGTTGGTTGCAATGCGCAATGCCCTTGTGAAGTTTCGCGTTTATCTGCTTGGAGAGTCAGATATTTGCCATATACACGGACCACGCGTCCCTGCGTACAGACACGAAGAGCCCCATTCTTCCTCAGCGCATGGCGCGCTGGTTGTCATTCTTCGCGAAGTACAACTTTGTCGTGAATCACAATCCTGTATCGACCAACTTCCATTTCGATGCCTTATCAGACGTCCTGATTATGATCCTCGCGCCGGAGCTTTAGTTGCAACTACCTCAGAGTCGGATGATGATGACTGTGCGGCTTGCGTTACACTCGGCCTCAACGCTGCGGCTGTGTCTGCGGTCAACGCTCTCAGTGCTGATATCGTGGAAGCGTATTTTCGCGAAGATCTCGATTTGCCAATCGTCTGATATTGGAACAGTTTCTTAGATGTTGCGCTATGGTCCCTCTCGGCTACCACTCGCGCACACATCACGCGCTATGTTTTTGACGGTAGGCTACTTAGGTATCAGAACGATCGTTTCAATTCTCCACTTCTTCGCCCTAGGCGATGGGGTACTCCACGCCCTTAGGTCCAAGGATAGGTAGCGGCTTCTGCAACCCTTCCTGTTGTGCCTGTGACAGGCCAACCGCTGACATCTCATCGATGTCCATTCTCACAAAGAGAAGTAGTCGCAAACCCAGGTGCGAGATTAACTACGAGTGCTACAAGGTGCAGCCGAGCTACTGTAGCTACGCTACTAATACACTATGTGCAGAGGAATACGAGCTTAGAGAGCTTCTACGTCTTTAGGTGTTTTACCTTCCTTAGGCTAGCTCGTAAGCTTGAGCTTATCGATTGTCACAACCGAGTCTCAGAACGACTAGTATCAAAGATACAAATTCTACGGAGGTAGAGCACGCTCAAGATGTAACGCTTATCGAGCAGGTTTGAAACTGATTTATATTTATGTTTATCTTCTAGCACTAAATATAGAAGCCCTATCCTATACTTAGTGCTAGTCACTATTTACTGGCTCTATAGCCTGTTATTATTATACTAACATGCATAGTCAATATACTCTAAATACGTATAGTGACCACGTAGCTCTCTGCCACGATGCGACCCGTCGTACTTCAGGTACGGTCACATCACCTACTTTGTACCCAAGGTACAGCCACAACACATTGGTGTGGCAGGTGTGTTTGTAAAATACACACCTTCGTGAAACTATGTTACACTGGGTGTGTTAATATTTATTACATGTATAAGTCCGACTGTAAGCACTCCATACAACTTTAAAAGTGGCTATAGTACTTATTAACTTCTATGGATATGTATTAGATATGTTTACATAGTAGAAAGGCACAAAAAAGCAGTCAATATAGCGCTGAGTGTTTCTCCATTAGTGCTTAAAAAGAAACACACAAATAAATTAGTATGGAATCTGCTCTAACATTTGTTGCTTGAGCCAATTTCAAAAAAAATTATATTAGTTGCACCTGGTCTCGTAGGGACGTAAATTGCTCACATCCAGAATGCGTAAGCTTGTAGATTTAGCCTTGAGAGAGTTTGTTTACTATAAATTATTTAAGCTAATGAATTATATATTTCATTGCACTTTGTACATATTGTAGTCTTTGCTGTTCTTTGAGCAGAAGCTACGTCCTACTCGATCCGACACTTAAGGTTACAAAAAAGAATAACGTTGTAAATACGAATAAACTTACTCCTAAGATGCGCGCCTCTTGCGTGTTTTGCGCGGGCTCCATTGAAACCTATTGGAAGGATTGGGAGGCTCTGGTGCTGAGTATTGCGGAGGTGGCTGCAACAGATGCGTACGATGTAGGATTATCGACGATGGAGATGATTCGGTTTTCTTTTAGTAGGTTTAGTTACTTTTTACATTCCTGAGTTTGGAACGGGTGACTTACGCGCCTGATGCTTCCATCACCTCGAGGCAAAACTAATCAAGATAAAACTTGGATTAAGTTCACCGAGGTGTTCCCATACCACTGGACAAAGGGAACTGACAGTACGGCACAGAAACTGACCTTAATTTAGATTGGAGTAGCGCGTGGCAGTGATAAAGAGCGCCGAGGAGACACATAAATACGTGTATTTGAATCTTGCTAGGTTCAGCCGTATATTTGTCAAATTTTTTATCTGATTGATATTTGACGACGATTTTGCAGTAGCCACAATAACAAAAAGCCAGGAAACACAAATGTGAAATGCTTATGTAAAATAGAGCGGTCCAATCAATATATTCAAGGTTGAACTTATTAGAGAGAAACCGAAATACTCTCCCTATGGCCTCGTTGAGGACACTTTGTGTCATGATATCTATCATGCCCCAGACGACAATCAGTCAAAGGTGAAAACCGATTGACTATTGTCCCAAAAATAAAGAACATACAAAAACATCCAAAAAAATACGATCGCCATGTTCAAGCCGACCAAGCTGCGGATGAAGGCACCAGGTGACACCAAGTTGGTAGACCTCTCGACCTAGGATCCTTGTGACGTGACCATGGCCTACCACCGACTCATGCTTGACGCGTTCTTGGAGAGTGACCCCGTCACCAGAGCCCTCGAGACCCGTCTGCTGGGTCAGCTCAGTAGACCTGTGTCGACCCTTTCCAAGCTGAGGACGGCGACAGACGCGATCACCGCGCTCGTGACTCTTCTTCGCGAGGTGGGTATGGTTGCAGGAAGGCTCGAGCCTGAAGACTTGTTTGCCTTAGTACTCAACAATATCAAGACCACGTTAGATATATTACACAAACGTCTGGGTATCCTGGTGGGAACAACGCTAGTACTACTTGACTCACCTCCTGCTACCGCTGCAAAAGCACCGTCTGACGGCAGC